TGGAAGAACTGTGTGTTCTTAGAAAGCCACAACAGAGTTGTTCTTCTAGGAAGTTTTTTCTCTCCTAAAGAACTGAAGGAATTTTAAAATTTCAGCAATAGACTTGAGCAGAAAAGCTGAGTAAGGTGTTGGAAAAACACCTCTGAGGAGATCTCAAATTACTATTGTGTTATGATTGTGCATTCTGTTTCCTGCCCTTGCAGACAAATGTATAGCATATATACACACACCCATCCAGGGTGCAGCTTGTAAGTAAAACCATTAAACATAAACACTTCCATGTATCTGACACAAGGCTAATCTATGCAACTATTCTGAGCACAAAACACACAAAGATTTAAAAACTAATGAAAGCTGAATCTCTGTGTCTGGTAAAGACAATAGAGCGTCTGGAATTCCAGCACCAATAGGACTGCTAAATTAAAGGTAATGCTTATCTATGAAAGTTGGCCAAGGTGTGTGAAAAGTGACTTCTCAACCCACTCTCTCTGTGGTTTGGAGCAATAAAAGAGCCCATACCACCAGGGGAGTAACCAACCTGCTGACAGTTCTCCCTGTAGGGATTGTATGTTCAGACTGGCTCAGAGTGGAAATGGGCTCAGCATGAGCTGCTTTGCAGCTGATGCCCCATGCCATGTGTCAAGACAACACCTCTAGCCTATCTATTAGAAAACTCCTCTACAAGTTTTAAAACAATTTATATTAGAAGCATTGACAGAAACCTTTCAGGACTCAAAAGTTTCCTATGCCATGACTTTACTGCCAACATGCTGAGTCAAGGTCTTGTGTGCTGATTGTGCCCTGCAAGTAAATAGGTTGGTCCCCACACACATGAAAATCAGGTTGCCAGTACTTGGTGGCCTGACAGCAACCCACCTCTGACCCATGGCAAAATCCCAAGCTTGTGCTGCAAGAACTGACAATATAACTGAATGTCTCAACATAACAGCTTAGATTGGATGGATGATGTAGTGTCAAATTCTACCACCCTGGCCAAAGTCAGGAGCTCACTCCACGAAGTCTGGTATGTAGCAGCAGATATGGTGAGAGGGGGTCACAGTAGCTGTTACTCCACTAAATTACAACATAATAAATAGTTACTGGAGCCAGGACAGCAGAGAGTTTGGATCAGAGTGGGAGGAACTGCCTCTGCAAGAGTATGACACTTCTACAGAATGCAGATCAAGAACAAAACACAGTCCAGAGGGACACATACTCTGAGCACACTCACCTCTTGCTTATTCAGTTCCAGGCCGAAAGGACCAGCTATTGTTTTGCACTCAGGAGGACAAAGTGCACACCGATTGAAATTTCAAATTGTCTTGTAAAGACTCTGCAGAGATCAGCTTGTATGACTAACAATGCTACTTATGACAACAGACATTTAAACAAAACAACACAAAATTACCTTTTGTTGATCTGCATATTATATTGTCTCTTAAAAGACGATAAACTACACTGTGGCACTATGATAAATGCTATTCCAAAAAGAAAGTTTATATATCTTAGGAAACTTCTCTAAATGTCCAAATAACTGTTTTCCATTAAATGCTTTATACAGCCTGCCACATTAGGACTAAGCAACATGTGGTTCACAAGACATTTATCCCCCAAGATATTTATCCCTCAAATTGAGCCCCCCTACAACTTCATACATTGTTTGGAAGAGAGCACTGAGGAGAGAAATGGAACTCTGACCTGAAGGTTTTTTAATGTAGCGAGAACAGAAAGAAGCTCTCATCTCTGGTCACAGCTTGGAATCATACCCCAAGCTGTGGTATCCTTAAGCCAAATTCAGACTAGAAGCTGCCTCTGAAAAGCAAAGTGATTATTCCTGCTTGTTCTAAGATCAGCACTGGTACCACAAGTTCTAGTGTCCACTTGAGCTGAATGAAAATAAAGTCCCAGGTGCTCTCTGATCTGGGCATGTTATCTGCATAAAAAATTTGAAAATGATGTAATGATGTCTGTGATCAAATATGCATTTGATTTCTACTGGCAAAACTATAAAAAGGTCACTTTATTATAAAATAAATAGAACCAACAGAACCACAAACCCCCAAAACAACAAACACAAACAAAACCCAAATATTAATACCTAACCCCCCTCAACAAACAAAAACTCGAAACCCCTTTCATTTTCAAATTTTAAAATTCATATTTTTCATGCCTAAATTGATCAATTTCCATTTCATCCTCTATTAAACTAGCAGGGAACAAAAAGGAAAAATAAAGAGGCTTCAGAGGCAGTACTAATTGATTTCTCTAACTTCAAATTCTCAAACTTTCAATAAACAAATGTAGAGGATTATGGTATATTAGCCTAAAAACATTGCTTAAAGTTGTATTTTATTGTGAAATCTTAGCTGAATGAATGGAGGGATGACATTGCCTGTAAATACCAAATTTTAAACACTTTTTTTTTTTTTACATCTTTCTATATTGTGAGAAGTTTTCACTCCCATTAAACTTTTGTTGAATACAAGCATTCTCTTGTTTTTACACTACAAATGGAATAAAGCACATGACTAAGATCTGCATGTCTGTATATCAAGTTATATATTTACTATCCCATTTGTCACTAGAGTTTGCTGTCTTGTCTTGAAAAAGCCCATGTAACTTTTGACAGAGAACATCTAATCCTAGACAAAATGAAAAAACTTGACTTCTTCCTATATATATCTATATATATATTTGCAGAACTGTACAAATCTAGGTTCCCAGTGGGCTGGTGCTCTCTTATGCAGGGCAAGTGATTACTCACAACCCTGTCAAAGGTAGCAGGCAGGACCCAGTAGCCTGTTTTCTCATGGTGGGTCTGATCTCCAGGGATGCTGAGCACCCCTGGGCATGCAAAGAGAACCTCCACCTGCTCTGCTTAGAAGCAGAAAGCAAAAGACCCTGTTTGTCAACACGTTCATCAGCAGCGTTTTATCTGTTGGCTTCACAGGTCATGAAATAAGACATGCCACTAAAGACTTGCTCTGCACATTGCAGAATCAGGTCCTGCAGTGACTAAGCCTAAGCAGAAGGCAAGCTGCTGACAACAACTGAGTGCTTTTATGTGGAAGTTGAACGTGTCAGGGAGAGGGTCTGTTTTTGTGGAATTCCTTTGCTCATTGGATCAAACCCGGGCTGCACAGAGTGCAGGTGTTCATTTATTACCACAGTACTGTGGCTGCATGCCTGAGCAGCACAGCTGCTGTAACCACCTATTCAGAGTTTTTGCCTAACTTCAACAAGCAACTGTTTTTTTAATTTATCATAGTAGTATCCAGATGCCCGACCAAAGCCTGGCCAAAGAGTTAACATCTTATTTGGCCTGAAAGACAAGAAGTTAGCCAGAAAATTGTTTCCTTCTTCTGGAAACATGTTCAGAGACTCATTGTCTGTTACAATTTCACATAAGTTTCTCAACAAACAAAGAAATACACACATAAGTATATGTATAAAATTTACATTCACTTTCCAAACAATTCCATGGGCATGGAAAGCCTCATTTAAGTGCAAAATTCCTTTTCATTTTCTACACAACATCTCAGGCTGCTACAAATTATTTATTTCCTACTCTGGTAACCCAATGCATTTTTTTGGTACAATCTATGGTTCACAAAAACAATCTAAGTAGGAGCAGCTATTAAGACTTTCATCACACAGGAACTTTTTGGTGTTCTGGGAGTTTGCTTATAGGAACTGGGGCTTTGTGAGATGTTAGCAAATTACTCTATGCTTCAGCAACTGTTACCCTAAGACCTGAACACTGAGAGTAGCTGCTTAGCATGCACATTGTGTTACACCACATCTCTGTTCCCTACACCTCCAAGGTCAGGTAAGATGTTTATGCACAGCACGGAACACGCAACTTAGTGTTGGACAGAATAGCCAGGTTTGTATTTCAGTATGTAAACTGCAGGCTCTGAATTTGAATGGTTAATCTTCATTACCCACTTCACATTTTCTCGCTATGTATCCATAAGCTGTGAAAAAACACCTGTCAGTGAGGTCCTCTGTTCCCTTCTCCCAGCAAAGCATGGCTTTGAGACCCCTGAGTGGACTGTCACCATGCATTCCCCATACACAAATATCTGGCATTTTAGAAAAGGCACAAGAAAATGGCATTTTCAGAAGAGTCAGATCCCACTCAGAACATAACTCACAGAATTCTATTCCTGAAGTGATTTTTGAGGTACTGAAATATATTTTAAAGACCTGAGTTCACTGACATCTGCTCCTACTCTCTGCAAGAACTGTGTCGTGTTAATGTTGCATTCTCCTTGTCAAGTGCATACTCTAAAATCCAAAAGTATTAGAAACATTTCAGTGAACTCTAGACCAGTGGAAAATTAAGCTAACACATCTATGTTCGTGCTATTGATGACGGGTTAGTCTTTGAAAACTCTCCTGAGCCTATATGGTTCCTAGGAGACTTTCAGAAGAGCCCACAGGGTCAGGACACCTATTCCTTGACACAAAGGAAAAAAAAATCCAGCAAGGACAAAGGGTGACAAATGATTTCTACACTCCCTGACATCAGGCAGCTATTGGAGTTCATGCTGACATCTCTCAATCCCTCCCAAAATGAAGTGACAGTATTTCAAAAACTTATTCAGCCATAGATCACCACATTCTTTCCTACAGTCAGCTCCAGAGTTTCATTCAGCTCTTGATCTCAGCTGACAGCCACTGCTGCCCTCCTGCCAGTGTGCCTACAGGCTTGGGCAGCAGGAAAACAAAAGGGAGGGAAAGGGAGAAAATAAAATTAAAATCAAATTTCTTTTTTTTCCAAAAATGAAAAATTGAATTCTTTAACCTTTAAACATGCTTGTTTACTTACAGAAAGCGTACTTCAGGCACAAAAGGTTTGAGTATCAGTCACATACTACTTGAAATTGAAATAGTATCAAGATTGTCCCATGCAGTCCGCTATATTATCCCCAAGATAATCAAGAAGCCGAAGTTGCAGTTTTTGTATACATACATATACATAAAGTATGCATCTTTCACACAATGGTCGTCTCTTGGTCTGAATTGACTCCAGTGGGGTTTATGTAACAACAGTACCTGTCAGAAGGGTTGTTATCCTTGTAAGAGCAGACAATGACACTATCTTTAGGAGCCACAAAAATGTTGTCTTCAATGTCAGGGCAAGGAGTGCTGTCCCTGCTGGAAGAAGAGCTCTTCTTCTCCAAGGCACTGTATGTGGAGCTATCTCCCACGAACACGTTCTCTGGCATCTCTGGGTAACAGCTCTCTAGGTATTTCAGCATCTCCTCCTGCTCTACCTTTTTGGTGGGGCTCTTGCACTCTGCCGGGGCAGCGGCGGTGGTGCTGGTGGTGCAGATGAACACGGTGTCCTCTTCCCTCAGCCCTCTCCTGTCCTTGCGGTAAGTTTTCCTGTCTAGCTCGTCACAACTTCCCTTGCCAGACTCCAGGTCGGAGGGGGTCCTTAGCAGTTCCATGACATCCCGGTCCCTGACCTCCTTACAGCACGGACGCATGTTCTCGGGACATTTGGTGCAGCCGTCGGTCTTTCTGGTGAGGGCAATGGCGGCGATGCCCGGCAGGCAGATGGCCGGCCCGATAGCCAGCAGCGGGATGTCTCCCAGGGTCTCTCCCTTGATGCCAGACACGGTGAACATGAAGCCGAACACCAGAAAGACGCTGACCAGAGCCACCACCAGTCCCGTCCGGGGGTTGATGTCGTCAGGTCTCAGGGTCCGCGCCATCCAGCTGCTGCGCACGGGGATGCTTCCCTCCACCGGAGCGCCCCTCGGGTCAGGGGACAGGCGCTCCCCGGCAAGCCTCCGAAGTTTCCGGGGCAGCACGGCACGGAGCACCCTGACAGCCGGCGCCGCTCGGCTTCCCCTCGGCGGAGCCGCAGACGGAGGGCGGGCCGGGGCCGGGAGCTGTCCTGCCTCCTGCCTCCTCCCTCGCTCCCTCCCTCCCTTGCTCGTTCCCTTGCTCCCCGGAGCCGGTCGGAGCGGCTCCCCTGCCTGCGGACCCGCCGAGCCCTCCCGCGCCGGCGGCGGACCCGGGGGGCTCAAGCCCTGCCGAAGGTCGGGGGTAGAGCGACCGGGCGGCTTCCAGCAGCAGCGGCCGGGGAGACAGCTGCCGCGGGGGTTCACCTGCACGCTCTCCGTCTCCTCCTCCTCGTCCGGCCCCTGTGCCGGAGCCCCGCACAGCCGTGAGTACGCGCACCGCCCGGCGCGGGATGCTGCGGGACCGGCGCGGGGGCTCGGCGGGATTGCCCCTACCTGATGGCCACCGCTGCTTGGCCGGCTGCTGCCGCTGCCCCGGGCAGCCTTTCCCTTTTGGGCGGAGGGGAGAGGACCCCCGACGGGCATCTTTCCTCGGGAAGCCGGCATGTGCATCCTCCGCGCGGCCCCCGCGCCTAAAGCGTCTTCTTCGGTGAGGACGGGGCTTGCGAAGTTGTTGAAAGGAATTGTCTCCTGGGCAGAGAGAAGTCTTGCCCCGAGTCTTCTCCTGAGTTAGGCACCTGTGGAGAGCAAGGCTTCAGGAGATGCTCTGCGGCAGCTGGATTTCATTCTGAAGGTGGCCCCTAGGGAGGAAGCCTCTCCTGATGTTATTCCCTCCCCAAGAATGAACATGAATGTTGGGATACCTCGGTATCCATGGCCTGCCGATTGTGATGGTGACGTTCTGTCCCTGTGATTTGATGCACTTCGGTGATGGCAATTTGAAGTAAGCACCACCAGCTGAATGAATATAGAAAAGGATCTCAAACAGGTGGGAATGGGAAAGGCAGCAGCATCTTCAGGCAGTGATACAAAAGAGTAAATGCTTTCATCTGGGGCAGAGATACTGGGAGACAAAAAGGAGTGATACCAGAAAGCTTCCAAGAAAGTTAATGTAACAGAAAAGGACACTCTGAACTACAATTTTGAAACCAAGGTTTCTTTAAGTTTTCCCATTAACATGATTCATTTTCCTCATACTACAAACTTGGAAAGCTCAGAGAAGCCAGTTTAGAAAACACTCAAATGTTTCTCAGGTCATGAAAAGCATGGGTTTTATTTACCCCCTGTACAATACAACATCAATAGAGCACTTCTGTCTTGTAGATTTCAAACTTGCCTTGCAGAGACCAAGTCCAAGAATATAATTTTGCAAGTGGGAACAACTCTTGCCTTACAGGACACTTTGTAAATGGGGTGTCAATTTATAGTATTTACTGTTTCATTTGAAGGATGAGTAAATTGGAGTAGAAGTACACAGTGGGGAGAGTTTTTAAATCAGTGGCAATGGTCTGGGTTTGAGCTTAAAAGTTAGTAATGGACCATGATCATTATTTCAACTTGTTCTCCAGAAAATTGTCCAGTAAAATTCACAATGAACCTCTCACCTGTTGCAGAGTGGGCTGTAACAGGAATCTTTTGGACTCTGTTAGAAATACCTTTCTTGACTGAAAGATTTAAAACTCAAAACCTTCCAGCCAGCACAAGTTAACTTCTACTTTTGCCACTCTGCAGGATTTAGTAGTATGAGAAATGACAGTAGCGTACTCAGCTCCTATTTTCCAGAGTGAAAATTTGCTGTTTCTTTCCATCTGCTGTTATTCAGAGACATAGCTTTTATGTCCTTACTTAGGAATTAATAATGCCTTTTTTTATTCATCAGCTAGATTCTGGATGAAAGGAAGTGATTAACCTTCAGCAAGCCTGTCCCACATAACTAAAATGTTGTAAGTTATGAAGTTATGAGTATGTTGGTAACTAATGCCAATGAAAGTCACTGTTCCTGCTCCTTGACCTTCCTTCAACTCCCCTACTGCATTTGGATAGTTTTTCAAAAAATTGGAAATAGTTCTTTTGTTGAAAAACAAATTATGATGCCTGGGAAAAGCAATTACCTGAAGCTGTACTCATCAACAGTCCTTCAGAGATAGAAAAAGGACACAGAAATGTAAATATTAGTGGCATTTGTGGAGGGGAAAATTGCTGTAAGAGCTGAAGTACATGTCAGAGTATCTAACAGGAGTAAAAATGGCCCTTCAAATTTAAGCAACAGGCTTACTGAGATGGAAGAGGGAACATCTACTTTGGAACAGAAAGCTGTTAGTGGACAGAAAAACACAGAAAATGTCAGGACAAAGGTGGAACTAAATGTCTTCAATTTGTCGCTTTGTGAGTGATTTCAAGACAAGATTGTATGCTTCCAGCAGGAGGGGATAGAAAGGGAAAACAATCACCCAGTTCCAGGAAAGCATGCCACGATTGTTAAAATTGTCTTCCCAAGCTAGAAATCAAGAGATCGGCAAGTGCCACTTAACACAACTGAGCAACAATGCAAATGGTTGCATTTTCTATCCTGTTCATAAGTAGAGAAGAAAAATGATTCCTTTCAGGTGAAGTTTCTGTTCCAGTGCTGTACACAAAAATTAGGTACTCAACCATGTTTTTACCTCAGTTTTCAATGGCAACCTCTCTTCCCCCCTCTTGAGTGGATGGGCAGCAGGATGGGGACTGAAGGAAAAAAGTGCTCTCTACTGTAATAGATCAGGGTTGTGATCACCTGAATAACCTGAACATATGTGTCTATTGATCTGATGAGATGCTGTGCTGGTTTTGTCTGGGGTAGAGTTAATTTTCTTCAGAGTGGCTGGTATAGAGCTGTATTTTGTACTTGTGCTGAACACAGGGCTGATAATACAGAGATGTTTTTATTATTGCTCAGCAGGGCTTACACAAAAACAAGGCCTTATCTGCTGTTTGTGCTTGCATGCTGGTGAGGAAGTTGGGAGGAGACACAGCTGCGACAGGTGACCCAAACTGACCAAAGAGATTTCCAGGCCATGTGATATCATGCTCAGGACATAAAGTGGGGCGAAGAAGGAGGAAAGGTGGGACATTTGGAGGGTTGATGTTTGTCTGCCTAGGCCACTGTCAGGTATGATGGGGCCCTGCTCTCCTGGAGATGGCTGAACACTTGTGTGCCCATGGGAAGCAGTGAATGAATTCCTTGTTTTGATTTGCTTGTGTGCATGGACTTTAGTGTTCCTACTAAACTGTCTACACCTCAGCCTATGACTTTTCTACCTTTTACCCTTGTGATTCTCTCTCCAATTCCAGTGGAAGGAAGGGTGAGTGAGCAGCGGCTGGGGCTTGGCTGCTGGCTGGAGTTAAACTGTGACAGATGGTTCCTGAGTCCCAAAGGAATTAGATTATGTAATTGCCAAGCCAATCTCCACAGTAGTTGAAAAGTCCTGGCAGTCAGGTGAAGTCCCAGGTGATTAGAAGAGTAGAAATATTGGACCCACCTTTAAAAAAGGTAGGAAAGAGAACTGTGGGAACCACTGATCTCTCAGCCTCCCTGGACTGACATTTCCTATTAAAAGCTACCCAGTAGCTCTCTAAATTGTCTAGAGAAGGATTTGATGGGTGTGCTGTTCAGTGGGTAAGGAATTAGTTGAACAGTCATATCCAGAGGGTAGCGGTCAACCCAGCTCAATCTTCACATGAAGATTGGTAATAGATAGTGTCCCTTAGGGATCTGCCTTGGGACAAGTAAGGTTTAATGTTTTCCTCAGTAATGGAGAACCATTGGCAGGTTTGCAGCCAACCTGCTTTGAGTGGTTTGAGTGGTGCTGTTGACACCGCTGAAGGTCAGGATGCCATCCAGAGGGACTTGGATGTGTTTGAGAAGTGAGCACATGGGAATCTCATGAGGTTTAACAGGACTCAGTTCAAGATGCTGCACCTGGGTTGGGGCAACCCCCAATAACAACACAAGCTGTGAATGGACTGAGAGCAGCCCTGTGAGCAGGACTGGGGGGTGCTGCTGGGTGAGAGGCTGGACATGACCCAGCCATGGGCACTCCCAGCCCAGAGAGCCAAACGTGTCCTGGGCTGCATCCAGAGCAGTGTGGGCAGCAGGGGAGGGAGGGGATTCTGCTCCATCTGCTCTGCTCTGGTGAGAGCCCACCTGGAACCCTGCATCCAGCTCGGGGGTCCCAGCACAGGAAGGACATGGACCTGTTGGAGTGAGTCCAGAGGAGGGCCACCAAGATGATTAGAGGGATGGAGCATCTTTCCTACAATGAAAAGCTGAGAGCATTGTTGAACCTCATGAGATTCCCATGGGCCCACTTCTCCTTCTTGCCCACATGTCTCTGCATGACATCCCATCCTTCAGGAGTGTCAACCACACCACTTACCTTGGTGTCATCTGCAATTTTGCACAGGGTGCATGCAATACCCTTTTCTATGTCATTATTGAGATATTAAATAACACTAATCCCAATACCAACCCCTGAGGGACACATCTCTTGTCACTGATGTCCATTGGGACTCTGAGCTGTTGACCACTACCCTCTGAATATGACAGTCCAACTAATTCCTTATTCATCTAAAAGTCCACTCATCAAATCCATCTCTCTCCAATGTAAAGAGCAGGATGCTGCAAGGGACTATGTCAAAGGCTTTACAGGAGATAAATGACATTCATAGTCCTTCCCTTGCCCACTGATGTAGTCACTCTATTCATTCTCTGTTTCCAGTCACTTGGGATTTCTCCTGACTGCCATGGCTTTGTAAATATGGTGGAGAGTGATTTGGCAACTATGTTAGCCAATTCTCTTAGGACTTTCTGGGATGCATCTCAATGGATCCCATAGACCGTAGACATATATGTTCTAGTTCCTCAGGTGATCGGGAACCTGGTCTCTTAAGAAAGAAAGCACTTTTTTCATCCAGTCCTGACCTTGCCT